TATCTTTCAAAAGAAATGAGATATATAGGCTCAAAGTGGACGATCCGGGTGTCGTTCTATTAGAGGTTTTACGGTAACTTCCTTTTTTAACGTGAAAATGTGAATAATTCCTTTTTTTTCTCAAAATTTCAATGAGTGTGAATTTCTGAAAAGTGTTAATAATTTACCGTATTTCCTCTAGTAAAAGCCCATGGGCCTCTATTTTTCAATTATTTATTTTCAAAAAAAAATTGATTCAAAAAAATCCGAAATTTTACAATTCGGGAGTTAAGAATTCTGAAATTCAGTGTTTTGGATAATTCGAAATTTTCATTATGCAATTTTCAATTTCAAAATTCCGAATTTATGAAATCCTGAGATTCCAAGATCTCGAAATTCAGGAATTCTGGAATTCCGGGAAAAAAAAGAGGAAAAAGGCCAAAAATGTCCAAAAAGCCTTTTGCATCCTCATGTAGAAACACGAGCTCTCTCTCTCAGGCGTCATTCTACAATATCTAGTCATTTTCCATTTAAAAATGTGTGTCTTCAAGCTCCAAACACTGACTTTACAAATTGTGAAACAAGCTAAAACTCGCATAAGGTTCACTTCTAGCCATTCTGGTAGAGTCGGTTGAAGGAATTCGGTATTTCTTCTCATAGATATCAATACTACAGTTCAGTGGCGGGCGCTGTTATTTACACAAGAGGGTGGATTTGCTTTATTTTTTATTTTCACGGTTATTCTCCCTAGTTACTGTAATCTGATTTCAAGGGCAACAATTTTATATTTTTTCAAAAGTGATGGAATCTCATGCTAATTGTCCTCAAATAATTACAACAACTTCTTCGTACAAGTATATCATTAAAGTTGATGAATGGAACACTCGGGAACCGAAACAAAATCAGTAATCTGTTTGATCATTATTTAACTGGAAAAAATCCATTTCGAAATGTATTTTCGCGTTTCTATGGGCATTCCACAACAGGAAATAATGTTTTACAGGATGCCACTAAACTGTAGTATTGAAACCTATGAGAAGAAAAGTTGGTAAAAATGTTCTCCGGTGAGTTAAGGCCCGAAACATAAACACCAAAATATGAAAACACATGATACGTACATTCTCAAAATTAAAGAAAGCTGTTTTCAAAAGATCAGTTTAATCTTTACTATTAACAATCACCAAATTCTGTGTGTGAGTGTGTGTGCCCGTTTGTTCCCGTATCACCTTTCCTAGTGAAGTCCAGAATGAACCAAATTTTCCCAAATTTACACAGATAACCCGAAATAGCAGCGAGATGATGCCCGAATATTTAATCTTTCGAAATTTTGTGTCTGACGTCTTCTGGAGACGTTCTTCTATTTCTACAGTGCAAATTTTTAGAAAAATATTGAAGAAATATTCACGTCATTTCCGTCTAACCGCCCAATTTTTTTTCTTATCCACGCTATATTTGAGAGAAAGAATTTTGTGGAAATATTCTTTTAGTATGGGTTTTAAAGATTTGAAAGGAAGAAAAAATTCTTAAACAGTGTAGAAGAGAGAAAATAAAAGGAAAAAAAAGAAAGAAACAGAATGCGAGGGAAAATAACAGTGATCACTCGATTTTTCAGAATTCAGAATAATTTTTAAAATTTCCGAACTTAATTTCATATCTTTCAAATTTCGGAATTTATAAATTTCTGAGATCTTATTCACCGAATATGCCAAAAAATTTCAAAGTTTCAGATTTTCCAACATTTCAGGTTTTCAATTTTCTGAATGCCTAAATTTTCGAAATTTAGAGTTTTCGAATTCTGAAATCTACATTTCCGATTTTCCGAAGTTCCAAAAACTTTTCGACGAGACTGTGTTTCGAAAATTTTAATTTCTGAATTTCTAATTTTTCAGGTTCTCAAATTCTCGATTCTAAACTTTTTCGAAATTCTATAAATTTTGCGAACAGGGCCGTTTCAGGCCAGCCCCTTTAGTAAGTATGCAAAAATCTGAATTTTCCGATTCCTTAAAATCTAATATACCAAAATTTGGGTATTTCAGACATACAGATTGAAACACTTTTCTAGATTTCAAAATTAATGTTTTCCTACATCTGATTTTTTTAAATGTACTAATCTCTGAACTTGCGAGTGTCTTACTTTTTCAATTTCTGGATTTTCTTACTTCCGACTTTCCGAATTCTAGGAATTCTAAATAACCAAAATATCGAATTTCGAAATTTCCTAACAGACCATGAAAAAATAGTCCCTGGAAAAAGTACAAAACCTGTCTATAAGACAACGGGTACTGTAAGCGGGAGCTAGGAGGCTCAGCCCGGAGGGGCGCAAACCGACTGTTTTTCAAAATTCGAAAATTTCGAAATTCAGAATTTTCGGAGAACAGAAAGTTTAGTAAACCTGACATTTAGTCATCCAAAATTTGAAACTTCAGGAAACCGGGAGTTCACATACTCCGGATTTCAGAACATAAAAAATCTTTTTTCAATAGTTTGGAAATTTTGGAAATTTGGGAAATTAAATATTCTTCGAAGAAAATTGATAGTATGCAAAACTTTCACAAATTTTGGTGAATTCGGAAACTCGAAAATTATTAAATTAGAAATTAAATTGTAAGATACAGAAAGCGGAAGCCAGGAGGTTGAGCCCCCGACAGGGGGCGTAAACCGACTGGTGTCTATTAAATGCTTTTCGAATTTCATCAAACAGACTGAAACTGATAGATTATTTTTGAAAATGTAGCTTTGAAAAGTTACTGTATTGGGACATAAATCCCTGAAAAATTTTATCAACTAATCCGCTTGGATCCTAAGATAACTTCTTACGCTCTATTCAACCATATAAGTCTCATTTTTTAGAGGGTAATACTTGTGGAATCTTCCATGTAAGCGGCAAAAACTCGCGCAGCTCGCAAATTGGGATTCGTCGACGAACCCACATTTCCGTGCCGGCATTTATTCAGCAATTTCATTTTTCAGGGAACCCGCCAACAGAAAACGAGGAAGCATTCTTCGAATCAATCTTATCTATCTTGCAGAACATAATCTCCTGGTTCTTTGCGAATTTTCATTTTCTCTAACCACATTTCTTCTCTTTCAATTCAATAGATTTTCTATTTATTTTACGATTACTTTCCTATGTACACTGTCTACTCATGCTGCTCCCCGTGTTTTAAACTTTGAGCTAATATATCTAATTTCCTACATGACTTCTGAACTTCTTCAAATTCAACATTTTGTCTGTTAATTCACTGACTCATCACCGACTTATGATCTCGGGTATCACAATGTACGTGTATCAATTTGAATAAAATATCTTGATAAACCGATTCTCTCTGAAGTTGATAAATGCTTAGAATTTACGAAACTGATTGGAAAGCCATACAAACAAAAAAATTATTCAATCCATCGTCCGTTCGAGGATTTTCTTTTGAATTACTTTTAGCGAGTGTGGTCATTATCATAAGCGAATGTGACGCTCCGCACTACAATGAAATGCAAATCATTAGAAAAAGGGGCGGACAAATTTAAAAGTCTGGTGAGCTCACAATTTCTTTTTTCTTTGTAAAAAAGTTAGAAGGCCCTTCTATTACAGGTTTTATGGTACGTACTTTACACAATAAAAACATTATGATGGGTGTCTCAAGAAAAATTAAACTAAGATATAGGAAAAATATAATAATATTAGAAACTCGTCTGCTTCGAGTCGTGAATCTCGATTGTCTAGAATTCGATTATTAACAAAATAGTACATAAGCTATAGCTTCCACCAGTTAAAACACGTCAATCATTTATGAGTGCCCGCAAATAGTTGAGAACATAAAATGAGATTGGAAAATGGAGATGAAAGAAAATTGAAATGGTGTCAAGATGCAATATAGGAAAAATTATAAATACTAGAAAAAACATAAATTAGCAGAAAAAATGTTCATTCAATGGTCGGTCTCTCCTTCCTCCAGCTCATCATCATCGTCGTCTTCGTCGTCTTCATCATCGTCGTCTGCATCAATAGGATCTGCCAACTCACGACCACTATCCATTGCTTCTTGAACCAGAACATCGTACTGAACATCGTTCACATTGACAGATCCGTTGTTGTGTTCTCGATAATGCTCACGACGGCGTTGATACTCTCGGAACGTCTTCTTCTCATACTTCTTTTCAGTATCAGGATCAACGATAATCGGAACTTCTGGCTTCAAATCTCCAAGTGTGATTTTAGTTCCTTCGTCATGAATTAATGCCGTCAATTGAGTGGTTGGATGGATAATCAGAGTATCAATCGAAACTTCTTTCTTTCCATCTGTTTGATAGTTGACAGCGAACACATCCTTCTGAGAGGCATTGGCGTGAGGATAAGAAGAAATTGAACGCATCAAACGGGTTAGGAGACCAGTTCCTTCTTGATTCGCTTTGAATTTTCCCTGAAAATAATTTGATAATAGGCATAATGTAAGAGGAATTATTACCATAAGGGCGAGCTCTCCATGACGAAGCGGATGAATTTGACAGTACTCGGAAAGAGTATCGTATTCTGCTTGCTAAAAATAACTTCGTTTTTCTAAAAATGATCTCATGAGAACTTACAATCGTATCTACATTTACATCGATTCTCAACTCGTTCTGATCGGTTTCCATCGCCTCTCCCTGTGCTGGTGGAGGTGTATTTTCTGATGTTTGGGATACATGTACTCCAACCGCGTCGAATTTATAACTTCGGCTCATGGCTGTTTTGTGTTCCGTCGTAGTAGCAACCATCTCTTCAGTAACATCGCAATTCGGGGTTATAACTATTGAGCTGAGTCCGTCTTTTTCAATTGCTGTGATCTGGATTGCTCTTCTGGAATAAATTAAATTTTAATATATTAGAAATCTTGGGGTCTAATTCATACTTCATGCCAACCAGGTTATTGAAGGCGTGTTCCTTGAAGTAAGGAGGTGTAACATCGCTGATCTTGATATCAACATATCCTCGATGTCCTTGCCCCGAGCACAACTCATGGACGAACAGAACTTCAGGCTTCTTGATAACTCCTGCAGCATCGCAGTTGACTTTTTGCGGCGTACAAAGAAGATCTGCCAAGTCGGTTAACAACTTTTTGATTCTGAAATTTGAAAGTAGGTATTAGCCTACTTCAAGGAATGATTTACCCTATCTTTCTGATTTCTGGATCGTTCATCTTTGCACCCTTGTTTCGTAGATGTTTGTCAAAGACTACATCACATTTTGGAAGAACGGCCAACGCTTTCTCAGACAATTCGTCCTCGAAAAATGATCCAACTCTATCCAAATCAATTGTTGGTGGAATCTCTTCTGAGGTTTCGAACTTCGATGTATTCATTGCAATCGGAGGATTCACATTTTCCGCTGCAGCCGATGTTCCAGGTTCTCTGTCTATTTTCATAGCGACATCATCGTTTTCATCGGTTAATGCGTCGAATTTGAACTTCACTTTGAACCTGAAAAGCATTTTTTAGATTACCGTAAAACCTGTATTAGAAGTGCCTCTTTAATGGAAGGGCCGTTCTAATAAAAAACTCCTCCGAGACGAGCTTGGAAAAATAGAGGTGCCCCCCTGTAATAGAAGGGCCCCGGACAGAAGGAACTTCTTTAAAATGTGTCATGAAATTAAAAAATTACCTTACATTGTCAATGAAAACATTCTGAAATCCCACAATTTAATAAAAATTAGCTCAAAGACTATTTTTTTAATGAAGAACTTGCTCAATTTTGTTTAAATTGATAGATTTTTATGAACTTTGAACATACATTTGTCGAATTTTTGTGGAAAAATTTTGGGAAAAATGGCCGGAAAAATAGAAGGGCCCCTGTAATAGAAGGCCCCCCCCCCCCACCCGGAGGTGCCTTGGAAAAATAGAAGGGCCGGCCTTTCTAATATAGGTTTTCCGGTAATCGAATTGCAAATATCGCCTTACTTGTCGACAATCTTCTTCCGATGGACTTTTGCATTTGCTTCACACTTATCCAGAAACGCGATCTCATCGAAACCTTCTTTCTTATCTTTCTCTCGTTGCTCTTTTACTGTATCGGCCAGTTTAAAAAGTTTCTTTTCAATCTCCTCGGCAACTTTTTTATCAGGGAAAAAGTTTTTGACAATGTACTGAAAAAATTAAGGATTTTGAAATATATATAACGGTATATACATACCTCAAGAATCGACTTGATCTCCATCCTTTTGATCTTCATCAATGCGTTCACTTTCATTGTTTTAGCAAAAGGTTTAGTTAGAGAAATCCATTTTGCCAGATGAGTTAGTTCTTGCATCATTGTTAGACAATTGAGTCCAAGCATCCGAGTTTTCGTAGTTAATTGAACAGTTATATCATCCAGAGAATTCAGCCAAGCATTTGATTGTGGCTGATATTTCGACGACAACTCTTGGTAGAGAAAATCTTCATCCTCTTTTATTTTGATATGTGCCTGATATCTTTTCATGGCTGTCGCAAATTCACATCGTTGAAAACAGAGATTTCGAGCAGCTGATGCAAGTTGGCCACGAGCCAAACGACAAACCTCTCTGGAAAGAAATCAATGTTCAATAATTCAAAACTTTCAGAAACTTACGGCAAATGCTTTGAAGTGAAAGTCCTAATCGATTCCAGCCCATCAGTTCCAAGTCCTCTTTCTAGAAATGCTTCTCCAGCCTGATCCGTAGATCCGGAAAGCAGCATTTCCACTAGCACTTCTCCAATTTTCACAGCCTTCGTTTTCGTGTCAAAAAGGGAATGTAGAGCAGCAACTTGAGTTCCCCAGTTCTGTTTAGTTGTGTCCAAGGAGATACTGTACAAGTTGTAAGCAAAATGGAGACGTAGATATCTCAATGCCACTTCCCAAATCGATGGTTCAAGATCTAGCTTAACAGTGAACACGAGAGTTTGAACTATAGGTCCTGGTTGAGTAGAATCCACAACTGGTGGCGCTTGTTCCTTATGTTTACAATCCAGATGTGGTCCCATAGTTGTAGCAATGAAAGAGACACCTTCAAAGGCAGAACTGTAGTGAACCGACTCGTAGCCCATGATGACATCCTGATTGAACTCTCTGACAACACTTTCTACGTCGATCTCCATGAATGGGAAAACTCCAGCGATGAGAACAACAATTTTTGGAATAAAACTGTCAATTGGGGCCAGGAGAATCGTTCCTTGGAAGGATTCGATGTACACATCTTCTGGGATTATTGTTCGTTCAAGATTCTCCTTTTGTGTCTCATCGTGCTTGAACGCAGAGCCGTCCTGTAAATGAGGTCATTTGAAATAAAACGTGAAAAAAATGACAGATGATTGCAGCGTCATCGCCACTCGACAGTTTCCATTTGACAGTTTTTTTTGGACCGATATTTCAATTTAATCTCGGTTAAGAGACGTCTATTTCTTTTCAAGGTAAGATCACACACCTCATCTAAACGCTCATAAACGAATCCGATTTCTTCTCGACTGATTTCCGGAATCGAAGTGCCGAGCTCGAGTGCTCCCTCCACAACTTCCAAATCTGAAAAAAAAGAAAGGTTTGAACTGAAACTTCAGATGATGTTCACAACAAAATGTGCCATGCAAAACATCAGAAATGTCGCAGTTGTTGGCTCTGGTCTCATGGTTCAGGAATTGCTCAAGTTTCAGCGAGTAGCGGACTTAATGTGATTTTGACGGATGTTAAGCAAGATTCGATTGACAATGCGATGAAATCGATTCACAAAAGTTTGACACGAATCTCAAAGAAACAAAGCGGCAGTGACAAGGTTTTTATTTTTTTTAATCGTTAGCGACTTATTTTACAATAATTTTTCAGGAGAAAGCCGACTATGTGACTCTCACAATGTCTCGCATCAAGACTAGTAACAATGTGTCGACAGCTGTCACCGATGCCGATTTGGTGATCGAAGCAGCCATCGAGAACATCGACTTGAAACGGGGCTTGTTCGCTCAAATCGAGCAGTCGGCGAAAAAAGATGCAATTCTGACGACGAACACATCATCGTTGTGTCTTGAGGACATTGCAAAGGGGATTGATGACAAAACTCGCTTTGGTGGTCTTCACTTTTTCAATCCGGTTCCAATGATGAAGCTGCTCGAAGTTATTCGATCTGATCAAACTTCCGATGAAACTTATGCGACATTGATTAAGTACGGAAAAGCGATTGGAAAAACGACCGTCAGTTGTAAGGATACACCCGGATTCATCGTCAACCGTTTGCTCATTCCATTCCTTTTTGAAGCTGTCAGGATGTATGAAAGAGAGGATGCATCAATGACGGTTTGTGACTAGACTTTTTAATGAAATGTAACTCTACACAGGATATCGACGCAGCAATGAGACTGGGAGCCAGTCACCCGATGGGACCATTTGAATTGGCTGATTACGTGGGTCTCGATACTTGCAAGTTCATTATGGATGGATGGGCGACCAAGTATCCCGACAACCCGACATTTGCACCAAGCCCGCTTATCGATGCCCTAGTTTCCGAAGGAAAACTAGGAAGAAAAACTAAGGAAGGATTCTACTCTTATAAGAAAAATTGATTTGTGCGTTTTGTTTTGAATAAATGTGATTTTTGGTTGATTTTCCTTACTTTTTCCTGGCGGTTTTAAGCCTTTTCCTATTTTTTTGGAATTCGATTCGTCGTCTCTCACACGCTCCCATTGAAGTTTCGTAATACCGTCGGATGAAGCTCTGAACACATTTGTTATTTCAAACTGTTATTTGAAAAATCTTTACTTGACAGAATATCGGACTTTCCCCGCTTCAACGTCTAAAATATGAATGATACCGGTATCCGTTGCTGCTGCAATGAATCTTCCATCCGGAGAGAAATGCAACGCACTGACTGTACTGTCTGATTTGCATTCTGTTCCAACTGCTGGAATCATGCTCACATTCGTCTAAAAAACTTCAATTCTCTCATCAGATAAGCTCGATGAGTTCATACCTTCCAGATCATTTTCCACGTCGTTCTTTTCAACATAATATCCCCAGATTTTGATCCCATAGCGATGAGATCATTATGAGGACTGAAGCACATACTTGTAATTTTGAAAGGCGCACGAAAGGTACGCCTACTATTGATAACCTCCGCTTTGATAATGGAAAAATCCATCTAAAAAAGCAGTACCGTGTCTTCATAGAAGCGCTGGGTCGGGAGCAGATATCGATATTCAGGCACCTAGAAGTTAGAAACAGAAAACCACTTAAAGTTATCACAAAGTTCATAAAAATTGAGTAAATTATCTTCTAAACAATTTAAAAACATTGATGCGCAAGGTAGTCTTGTTCGCATTTTAAAGACAATTAATGAGGGTAGATGAGTACATTGAAGATCAAAAAAAAATTGAACGGGGGAGAACATAAGGGAAAACATGATTGAGCAAAATTCAATTTTCAAAGTCTAAGCATGTATGGGTTGCAATAATTATACGTCTCGAGCGCTTCCATGAGTCAGTGCGACCTCCTCTCGCATCGCTTGGATTTCATGGAATCGGCCGCGTGCCATCACTTTCATGTAGTTTTGCATACGGTTTCTTCGAGCACGTCGTTTTGATGATACAGATTGGCCTTTGCTTGCGTCTGGACCCACTTCCTCTTCAACCTCCTCGTACTCTTCTTCTTCTAACTCTTCTTCCTCTAAAGGTGTATTTCCAGATGCATCGGGCGGCGTACTGTTGGCTAATGGCTGGTTTAGCTGAGAGTATTTGGTTTTCTGAAAACAACATGTTTAGAATAAAGTCAAACTAAGTAGTTTAATACCTTTGCAGCATATCCCCAATGTGTCTGATGATGTTGAGCTGATGGATCAGGAGGATTAATTCCATTCGGAGAGCTGTGATACCCTGACCCAGAAACTCCCGCCGCCTGTTGTCCCAATTCACCGAGAATAGCATGAATCATATTCGCCTCATTAATAGCTCCTTCGTCTCCGTGATGCTTCCTCTTATTCTTCTTCTTTTTCCGCCTCTCGGATGAATCGGAATCAGAATCCACTCGTTTGGTCCTCGACTCCTTGGCAGCTTTGTGCAAAGCCATCACATAAGCTCCCTTTTGGATCGAGTAACCTCTGGCTTGCTCGAACGCATCAATGGCTTCGTGAGAACTCCATCCAAGTCGTTCAATCAGAAAACGGCAGATCAGATAACCACAGCGATTTATTCCATTCGTGCAGTGCACTCCAATCAGCGCGTCTTGATCTTCACATTTGTCTGTATAGTCTTGAATCGCTTGATTGAATGATTCAACACAGTCATCTCTTTCAATGAATCTGAAATTGATGGATATTTGGAAAGTTCCAAACAAAAAAGCTGTACCCTCGTCCAGGACAGTTGACCTTCTCGTATTGTATACATAAACCGGTGATATCTTCCTTATCGTAGAATCGCTCAGTATCCGTCAAATCTACAACCATTCCCAGGTGTTGACCGCGCTCAGCTAACTGAAATGAACAATTTGTTTTCATAACAACTAAAAAAAAACAACTTACCTTTCTGAACAAATCATTTGTAGTAAACCTCTGATCCTTTCGAAGCTTATTTGACAAAGAACTGTTGATCGGTGTTTTGAAAACGATGAAACGAGTCCGAGGGATGACATCTCCAAGCGGTTGAAATTTGTGCCAACTGAAAATCGAAACATGACAATCGAGATGAAGCGAGGTGGGGGGAGAAACAAGTTTTAATTGATTAATCTATCTGAAATCGTGTAGGGCAGCGCTTGCAGTGTTTCTTTGAAATTTTGCATTCAAACTGCACGCTCAACCGCCAACAAACACGGGTGTTTCTAGTTTGTTGGTATTTAAGACGAGACGAAGGAATGGAGGCGGTAGTGAAACGGAGAATCAATGCAATGACCACAAATGTTATCGAAAATTCAAAAATATCAAATCCAAAACAGCGTTCATGGAGTCGAACTGTGACAGTAGAAAAGTCTCCAAAACAGCTGCGAACATGAAAGAAAAAAATCAAATGCTCACTCTTTAGGGACTACTCTGCACACGCGCACCATAATTACTCAAAAAGGCAAGTTTGAAACAAACGAAAAGGATTGGTGGGATCGGTACGCGTATGGAATAGTCAAGTAGAAATGGCCAAATATTGTCGTCCAGGGGTTGAATTGAAAGGCGTCGGCAGTCTTCAGAAGATGTGGTACGTCTTTTCGCTTGGCTTTTCCGACCACAAATCGATAAATTTGTGTCGCAGAAAAGGGGCGAATCGCGACAGAGATGGCAGTCTTTCGCGAATCGATATTCGCAGAAGAGAGAGTACGCGTTAGAGAAAAATTGGCAGTTTGCCAAGTGTCGTGGTGAGATACCGCAGCGCGAGAATCGTGTGCGCCTTTAAAGAAAATGTGCGGGAGTTCAAAACGAAGTTGTTATTTTTACTGAAAATTGTCAAGTTCCATGAAAAATCTGGAAAACTTTTGGAAAAAAATTGAAAAAAAAACACTGCTCAAAATTTTTATTATGTATTTTTTATTATGCAAATTTCAAATGACATATTTACAATTCATACGATGTCGTTCTGTAATGAGAATCAAAAAACAATCCCTGAAGTATTGAAAGTGAAAGATTAATGGGGAAAATTACACAGGTTAGAAACTGAAAAGGATACATGCGGGGTGTGAGTGAACTTCAGGCGATAGATAGCAAAGTAAAAACTAGACACAGACGACGGAGACAAATTATTGCAAGCTTTGATAAAGTATGAGGGCTAGACAAAAATAGACGATTGTGATATATTCTAGGTATTAATAACATAAAACTAGATCTTTTACCACACATCTTCTGCACGTGTTGGTTCAAGATAGTCATGCAGGGAGGTAAAAACTCCAGCGATTGCTCCGGCTACGGTAGCAATAGATGAGAGGAACAAATGAATTATTTGATGGAAGAATTGAACGACGAAGTGGATGAGATGACCGATATTTTCACCGAGATTCTCTCCGAGCTCATGGAATCCGTAGAAGACCTGAAATGAAAAAGAAGTTTATATGAGAAATTATTAAATGTTTCTGAACGCTTACATTCTCCGACAATCCATGCCAAATAGCGGTGAACAATGTTGCGAAAACAGAAAAACCTCTTCCTATGGTACGGAAAAATTCCGATAGAGCTAAAATGTTTGGTTTTTTGTTGCAAAAAGTTTTTAATAGAACTCACTTGAAAATATTTCATCTACAACTTCACACATCACTTTTGGTAGCTCCTCAGAAAGGAGAAATGGTTCTGGTTTACAGAGAGCATCAAAGAGAGGGGAGAATGGTCCGGAAAAGTATCTGGAAAGTAAAAAAAAATTCAAAGAGTCTCATGACAATAATGGTACCTGCAGAAGAAAGATGGTTCGTTGTGAACACCATGACTCATCACTTTCACGAAGGATATTGTAGTGATTCCAACGAAAAACAGGGCGAGAGCAAGAAGAAGAGTTGGAGCAGCATTCCTGAAAAGTAATATTTTTGTCACAAAGTTTTCCCCCATTTACTCAAAGACGCAAGTTATAGACAACTCTTAGAAATTCAGCCGCCGTTGGTACGCTTATCGGCAATCTGCCATCACTTTTGTATTTTAACTCCAAAAAATCTCCGAGAAATCTCCTGTCAAGAACTTGATTCTGAAAAAAAGAAGACTTACGATATTTCCGAGCGAATCGTAACATGAAGAGATGGATCCAAAAGACGGTTAACCAATTGTTGGAATCTAGCTTTCCCAGCCTCATAACTCGATCTCACATAGTTTCCGACTTTCTGGCACATGGCACATTCATCTTGGGATTTCTGTTCTGGATCATCTGGTTTCACTTCATCTTCATTTGGAGTCAAAATTTCCACTTCTTGGACTATGATGGATCCAGATGGAATCAGTTCAGGTTGCTCGGCAACTACGATTTCCACTTCTTTTGGAGCTTCCTGAAATTATTTTCTTAATTTTCTGGTTTTCACTATACATTTTTTTCAGTAATTTATTATATTACTTTTTGAAATAAAATACCGTAATCAATCTATTAGAATGGCACCCAAACCGTCAACTTTGAGCACGTATATCTCATTTTCTGTAAAATATATCAAAAAGTAGTCAACTGATTAAATGTTTATCAAAATATGAGCTAAATGTCTTCAGTTGACCACTTTTTGATATCTTCTACAGGAAATGAGATACAGTACCGGTCATAATATATACAAAGAAAACGAACGTTTCAGTGGACTTTGATCTTTTTCAGAAGTTTAGAGCTCGACTGTCAAGTTTCCGATCATTTTGAACATTTTGGAGAGTGTAAAACAGACCTAGATTAAAAAATTTGCTTTCAAATAATTTTTTCCGAAATTCCTAGTTTTTCAGTTATTTGCCAATTTTTGAAAGAGACCTGTTTTTAACGTTTTCAGTACAAAAACGGGCTGAAAAGAGCGTCTGGCAGAAATCGGCAAATAGCTGGAAAACTAAGGTTTTTCAAAAAACTCTGTGAATGCAAAGTTTTCGATCTAGGTCTGTATTTACCCTTCAAAGTTCTCAAAGTAATCGGAAATTCGATCGATGACTCCTGCGAATTGCTTAAAATCAACTGAAAAATACGTTTCTGTGTATTTTTTTTGACCGGTACACTATATCATTTCCTGTAACACATATGAAAAAGTGGTCTAATATGTTGATCAAAATATCAGCAACATTTTATTAGTTAACCACTTTTGATATCTTTTACTAAAAATGAAACATATGAGCTCGAAGTTAACGGTTTGGATGACATTCTATTAGAGATGGCATTCTACGAAACTTAAGAAAAAAATAGAGGATTAGATTTTTTTTTTGTAATTTTTATCATGTAAACTGAAATCGAAGTACCTCATTTTTAAATTGCTATTTTTGACCTACTCAGACAAGAACAAAGTTCCTGCCGGGGGTTAAGAAGGATGCCGGCAGGCTATTGAAGTGGTGGCAGGAGAAAGTACCTGCCGGCGGGCTAAACGACACTCCGCTCGCCGGGATTTTAATTTGCATATTTAGGCGCCGCAATGAAAGGGGGCGGGGCGACCAAATTTTTCTCCCCTTTTCAGAAACCCATCTTTGAAGTCTTGTACCGGGCGTTAGAAACTCATTATTTTTAGGGTTAAAACTTGTCCCTACGTAATCGACTGCGACAAATCGAATGAAACTATCAGTTTTTTGATATTTTCATTATTTTGATTCGAAAACTTCGAAAAACAGGAATCAGACTGACAAAGTGGACTAAAAGTATTGGATGGAAGTTAGTGCCTCCAAATTTTTTGATGGATTCTGGTAATTTATGAAATGGGAGACTTTTGCTGACAATAATTGTGACTCTCTTATAGTTAAATGCACTAACCCAGTTGGTCTCACATTGATCCCCACTTCTGATGTTTTATCTCCTTTCCTATCAATCCAGTTTGATGGAAACACTTATTTCTGCCCCATTCGTTACTCCCCCAGTGTTGTTAGATAAGAATAATTTCTTTTGATAATAAAAACTTATATTTTGTTAATATTCTCATTTGATTTTCATGAAAAAGGCTCTGGAAGAGGAAGGGGGAAAGAGCAGAAAGCATTTACCTGCCGGCGTGAAAGTCCATGCCGGCAAACTAAAAAAAAGTCCCTGCCGCTGCCCTGCGGCAGGAACTTCCCTTAACCCCCCGGCGGGAACTTTATTCTTGTCTGAGTATACCTGGATAGTGACAGTTGGCACGAGAACCATGGCTGGAGTTGGTTGTGGTTGGTCTTCGCTGCTCGTCGAAACTGAAACATTGTCACATGAGTTCTCTTTTCTTTTTCTTCTTTTTCTATTTACTATTGAGACACCGCGCATTGGCAATTGTCAAACAAGCACATATTCTCAGGTTATTCTTTTCTTTTCAAAAGAAAAAGTTCTCACTAAAGAACAAAAAACAGCAAGAAAGATGCGCTTTGAATAAAATGAAACCGAGAAAAAGGAGTAAAGATGGGGGAAGAAGCGTTTGGCAAGATGCCAGAATAAGCCGGGAATGGGGAAATAGAATGGGAAACGGAGAGAGTATAGAGAAAGAAAAGATGGGAGTTGAGAACATGTTAGATTATGACGTAGATAGAAGAGCAACGTCTTCTGGGGGCAACGTCTTCTGGATGAACGAGAAGAGAAGATTGAGATCTTCAATTTTGGATTTTCGATTTCTTACGATTAGAACTAAAAGAGTGGGCGAATGTAATATCAACAAGTTTCCGAAAAAAAAACTTAATATTCTCGAGACCAGTTCCAGGTATTTTTTCTAGAATTTTTTACGTATGACTTTCAAAAGCATAACAAGGCCATAAAGGATTTTAAGGATTTTATTTCTGATAGTGAGAAAATCGAAAACTGTTCTATGAAACCAAATTCCTGTATCGTATTCCCTCTAATAGAACGCTACCCGAATCGTCAACTTTCATCTTAATTATTTCACTTCCTTTAGAAGATATCAAAAACTTGTCAACTATAAAAAATTGGTGATATTATGATAAATAATTTATCAGTTGGCTTCTTTTTGATATCTTTTATAGGAATCGAGATAATTAAGATCAAAGTTAAAAGTTTGGGTGAGCATCTCTTAGGGGAAATGCGGTTTTTATCAGAGAATACATTGAACACAGTCATAATGGAGCAGATATTATTTTCCTCAAAAATGTCCTGCAACAAAAAAAGTACAAAATATGGATCCTTGGAACACATGAGCTTCTCCTAAATACTCCGTGATGACATATTATCTTTTAAGTAAACAATAGCCAAACGTCCTCAAATTCACGCAGAATGGGGTTTTGTTTTATTATGACCTATTTGACTGATTTTCAAGTTTCCAATTTTGATACTTCAAATTTCTACAGTTATCAATGAAATCCTTTTTTGAGATAAAGTACCGTAATCACTCTTATAAAAGATCACTCAACTTTGAGCCCATATAGCTCGCTTCCTGTGAAAGATCTCAAAAAGTTTTCCACTGGCAAAACATTTGTGATATTATGATTAAAATTTTGTTAGTTGACTACTTTTTGATATCTTTTACAAGTACCGAGATATATGAGCTCAAAGTTAGCGGTTCGGCCTTCTACTGCACGGTAAACTAACTACAGTAATCCATGGTCACAGCACACCATACACAACTTACCAACTGTTGTTCCTGTTTTGTCCTTTGACGCTTTTTTATTTTGATTTTGATTTCTACTACGAAACACTGAGGTCAGATTGGAAACCATGCTGAAATTAATCAAGTGTTGGGGGGAAAAGAAATAAAAAAATGTGAATGAAATGCGACAGAAACATTTGTTAATAACTTCATGTAAAAGGGTAAACTAATAATAATCTGTTTACCTGGGAAAAAAATTCTCCGGAATGTTGTCCGGATGGGTTAAGGAAAAGAAGAAGAAGGGGAAGAAGACATGTAAATATTTAGACGAGAGATCAATCAGTTCCTGATATTTCCGTGTGTGTGTGTGTGACGGATGGAGTTACGAATGGGACCCTCAGGAAAACGAAATCCGAGAAATTGGGGGAGGAACGGAGAAGAGAATTCTTTACACAAACGTTCGCGCACCTGACACAGAAAGGCTGTAATGAAAAGAACGGAGGGAATTAGATAGTTGTGGGAAATGATAATTATGAGGTAAATGGGTGCGGATGGGGAAGGCTTTGAAGTCTCTGGCAGGTTATAAAAACTTATTAGGGTTGGAATATCAAGTTGAGAAAGTTAGGCCTCCTTTTAAAATGGCCTGGAAAATACACAAGGCGAATGTTATATAGCATTTCTAGGCTAAAAAGTTTGATGACCTAGACATTTCACGTTACTAAAGATAGGTCACCATTTTAAAATGGCCTGGAAATTACACCAGGCGAATCTTACAGCATTTCCAAACCGAAAAGTGCGGGACCTAGAAAATCCAACTTGAGTAAGTGCCTCTATTTTGAAATGGCCTGGAAAACATACCAGGCTGAATATCTTGTACGGTATGTGTCAGTGAGCTATTTGAAAAAATGTGTTTTTTTTTCTATATAGAAAGTTTGACCATTTTTTCAAGAACCAAAATTTTGAAGGAAGATTTCGGAACTCGAAAATTGTTAAAAACCTACTAGATCTTCTGAAATAAGTCTGTGGACGTCTCAGGATTGTTCTCACTTCAAGATCCTCTTCACTTTCAGAATGATCCAAATAACTGCGTCGAGCTTCGATATAAGCACTGTATCGGTTTTGAACTTCTGAATTCTTTTTGAATTTTTTAAAAAAATTATGTATAAAGTATACCATAACGACCGGACATTATTTTTGATGTATGGGACAAGGACAGGAAAAGAAATGAGAAAAAAAAGTTGCCGGAAAATTGGAGAAGAGGATGTCAAACAATCACTTATCACCCCCGAAAACTACCCACTTGAGACAATTAGCATAGCCAAAAAGAAAAAAAAAGGAAAATTCCAGAAACCTCAGTGACCACTAAAATTTGTACTTTATCTCATGTGAAATTCTACACACCTGTTTCGGTCCGAGGAACACACCGTAATGGAGGGAATAAAGAGGAAGTCCTGGGAGAAATAGTGTGTGAGATGAAGAGACGCAGAGACAGAGATCGGAGGGATGACAAATATGAACATTATGTTTATTATGTTTATATTTAAATGGATGTATAAAATGAAGAGAGAAAGAGGAAGACCAAGAAGTAATGAAGTTCAGTAAACATTCATAAGATGGATAGAATCTACTGAGGGTATAAAGCTTCTTCTTTGTATACTTTGGGAGATCCATCAGAAAACTTGAAACAAGGATCTTGAAAGTGTGTCCAGTTATGCGTAACAATTTTGAATGACCTTCAGTTTGTTATTTTTTCTAGATCATGTGTCATGTGATTCCAGTTGAAATTTCGAATTTAATAGTTTTGTAAAAAATTCAGGTGGGAAACTGACCAATTATAAATTTGTTCGGGAGAATGAAAACTGGAATTGATCAATCCAGAACTACAATAATTTCCAGTAGAAAAGTTCAAATTTGGAAATCAGATAATCCGGAATTTAGAAATTCAGAAATTCAGAAGTTCAGAAATTCAGAAAATCGACAATTGAAATGTTCAGGGATTTAGAGTTATTCTGAATCTTTGACTTTCTGTTGTTCTGTAAATTTTTGAAATTCTTTCTAAATTTCTAAAATATTGAATTTCCAAAATTCCAAATTTAGAATTTCTAATATTCAGAACTTCTGAATTCCTTTTTGAAGATTTCGAAAACTTCCGAACTTCTCAGTTTTTCAAAATCTAAATTTTGAAACATTGGATTTGTTAGAATTTCAGAGTTTCTGAGTTTCAAAATTTGAGACGTTCTAGATAGTTTTAAAAAAATTTGTGCAAATAGTCTTTAGTCGTCATCTGGAGTTGCGGGAAAATGAGAATTCGATAAAAATGTTATTTAGGAAATGAGTCAAATAAAAAAAATAACTTTAAATGAAATTTCTGATCCTCTAATTGAAGCCCATCTGCAGTGAGCCAGAACTCGCTCAAGTATGAGTTCTGATTACTGTTGATTTCTTTATAAAATTGGGAATCGAACATGCATCCGCATGAATAGAGTGGATACACTCTTCACAACATCTCGTCAGTAAATGAATTACTAAATAAAGTGACTCCTTCTTTGAAGTGCTGTGAATTGGAAACCCCACCACCCTTTTCCTCCCATCGAACAATATGCACATCTGCGCTTTGAGATCACGTGATTCCCATGATGGGTTACCTTTTCCCCTTCCCGTTGTCTCTGCTCCTTCTCCGAATCCCATAGTCTTCTCCGGGTACCCGGGAGCGACTAATTACGGTAGAATAGAGACGCAGAGATAATTGACATGTCACACGCTTTATGGCTTCCCAACAATCGACCGAATGGTTGTTGTGGAAGAAGAAGGGGAAACGAAATGAAATGAAAGAAGCGAGGGCATAAGGGAAGAATCAGTACACAATTCATTCATACAAGCAGTAATAGGTAAAATTCACAGTTATTTGAAAGCGTACAGTAATATCTACAGAGCTTTTTTTGTCTTTTTGCCTATTCACCATTTCTGGCGGCAAGTCGAGCTGATCGACGGAGTGGTGCCATTGAACGAGGTGGCAATGTAAACGTCAAATTGCGGTCGAAAATCTGCGTCATATCGTCTAGGGCATCTTGATTAGCTTGGTAACGCCTAATTGTCACATTCGATGTTCTCCTGATTGTCACATTCGATGGTCTTTGTGTTGGGGGTGGAACGACATTTGTATTACTTTCAAAAAATGCGATAGTAGTTTCTCCCAGTGGTGCAGTGGGATTCATTTCCGGTGCATTAACATCAAAAGTAACCATCGATTTTGGATTCGATTTAGGTTTTGGCATCGAAACTCTCGGAGGGCACATTTCTTTTAAAGCCTTGTCAATTCTGTTCGGCATATTCAAATTGATATTCACTGTTTCCTCGTATGACTCATCTAAACCTCGTTCGACACCTTGCATCGTCAATAAATCGAAACAATGAGTGGCAAGGCCTGAAAAAGGATAATTGAAACATTTGAAAAACTTCAAATTCTCTTACAACTGTGCTCATCATGGCGTAGTTCTGGATATGACTGTCTGACCATGTAGATGTATGCACATTCGAGTCCTATAAAAATTTCAATATTGGTGTTTATACATTTCGTATTTTATCCATACTATGGTATTTGAAATGTAAACTTTCATGAAACGCTTCCTTTCTTAAATTATTGATAAGTTTATCCAGCACTCTCTGTACTATTGCAGTTGAGACAGTTTTCGCTTCGAATGCGAGAATCCTTTTGAACAGTTCCAATGCGCGAGACATCATATTTTGATACTTTTGATCTCCGCGTTCAGGCGTCGATCGAAGTATTGCTATCGATTCAATGTACAGAAGCTTTTTGTCATTTGTCCCGAGCCATTTGACAATGTAACCAAGCTCAAACTTATCCAGCGCGATTTTATCTTCTTCAGTTCTTTCGAGAGCTGTAAAAATATTTAAAACGAACGTTAGACTCTTCAGTTTGTCGAGTATTTACCTGGATTAACTAGCAAACAACTGTCCACTAATTCTCTCATCATGCAATTCGGGGAAATGTCCAACACTGCAATTCGGCACATCGGACACTTGGAGGCGTTTTGATCAGTCCATTGAACGATACATCCTGCACAAAACGTATGAAGACAAGGAGAACAACTGCAATAGACCAACTCACACCAGAAATGAGCTGAATAAAATTTTTGAAAATCCGGAAGAAGGAATAAGGAATAAGGAATTCCGCTCATGTCTGACTCACACACAATTTTGAGGAAAATAAAACAAACCTAACGGCATTGTAAAGAGTGGCCATGCAAATCGAGCATCCAGAATGCCTTTCGATTACATCTAATAAATTTCGAACATTTTGACCATTTGAACCGGTGGTTTCCATAGCTGGCGATGACATAAAAATTGGAATTGGAGAGTGATTGTGACTTGACGAAAGGAATTTTTGAAAGTTTTTGGTGCGATTCCAACAGATTGTTTCGGAACTCGCGCCAAGAGGATTACGGTATTTGGGAAGAAATGCTTTTGCATGTTCGATTTTGTATTTCTGTTTTAAATATTTTCTATTTTGAAATTTTCGAAATATTCTGGTTTTGAAAGCTTCGCATTTTGGAATGTTTCTTTCTCACCACAAAAGCGTAAAAAATATTCCGAAATTTGAGCTTTCCGTTTGATACCCGCAAGGGAACTTTTCATGTGCGCCTTCGTCATACTGTGATTCAAAAGAAAAGAAAAGAAAAGCGAGTACCAATGATTTATTATACTGAAAACATATTGCTATGCACATCCACCACCTATAGACACGAAAGGTTAGATTGAATTACATTTAGGAAAAAAACTTCGCTTAATTCATCTAATATACACAAAAACACCTGGTCGAAACGGTTTGATGCAAACCCGGCATAAATAAAATAGAGGAAAAAAAACTTTTTCAAAAAAGTGACCTAAAAAGACAAGTGAAGGAATGTGAAGGCAGGTAAAATTGTGTATAGCGAGATGAGAGGTTACATTGTCGGAATAAAAGAAGGTTGAGGAGATTGAAGAATGCTCAACTCGCGGACCGAAGCTTCGAGAAGTTTCGCGTTTCCAGAGTAATAGGCAGCAAGAGCGGATTGAAGTTTTTCGAGTTGAGTTGCCACCACCGAGATGCGATTCTCCTCGAGAAGTCTCATTTTGATCTTCGCATCGTTTTTCAGCTTTTCGTATTTTAGTTTTCTCTCTTCACATTTTTCGGCCGTTCCAGCTGGAAGCGTTTTTGGCTGTTGGCCTTGTGGTGGATTGGCTGCTGCCGAGATGTCGTTCCGGTCAACATCATACTCAATACGAGCCTAGAAAAACCAGAATGTTATGAATTTAATCTTTAAAAAAGGAAGGATGATACCGATTCGGTGTTATAGATGGTGTGCAAAGTGTCCGTGATGGTTTGGTTATAAACCGTTTCCATAGAAGAAATAAAGTATTTCAAGCACGCATCCAAAGAAGTCGCTTGTTCTCCAACACCTCTCATAGTTTCAGAAGTCGTTGTACATTGAGCCTGGAATTTTGGAAGGTTAGAATGCTCTTCCATCCTTGACGATTACCTTGATTTGTTCTTCCTTGAGCGACAACTGGTAAAACGATTCTGAAAACTTTTTCTCCGCTTCTGCCATCTGAGAAAGCACTTGGCTGAAATTCTTAGCAGCCGCCACAACGTGTCCATATCTTCTGTGAATGTCTTTCAGCACTTCACATTGAGCTTCAAACTCCGGATCAACAGTTTTGTCAATCTTTCCCATGTGCTCCAACAGTTGTTGCTTTGAATTTTTGAAAGTTCCAATGGTCCATTTCTTGAACGACTCGACTTTAGCAGCAACTTGAGCGGTGTCAATACTGGAAAAATCAGAATATTTATTTGAATCGTTTAGCAGAAACATATCAAACCGAGGACACTTTTCTAGTGGACAGTGGGAGATTGGGGAACGCGTCGCAACTGTTGTAGCATGGTTCTTTCTATACAGTTTGATACTGCTTTTCCTATTTAATAGGCCCATGTTTAGGATTAAACGAAGTAGTAAAGGCTTTCGGGAGAAAAAAAAACTTGTTGATTCTGTTTTACAAGCAGGCGGGGCCGTAAGAGGATGCGCTGAGCAAACATTGAAACAACGGGTTTTTTTTATTTTACAGGTAGTAGTCAAAAGTAAACAGATATATTGAACTCATCAGAGAGATTATGTGTAGTACTATTCAATTATTAACGATCTATGTCTGGGGGCACAAAACTTTTTAGCTAAATTATTTTGGTTTCATTCTCATCCTTCCTTCAGAATTAGTAAATTTTCAAATTTTCTTCCAAAAATATGCATACATTGTCGAGTTACAGCTCGTTTTTTTGCTCCATTTTCTCCCAAATTTTGCATATCGCACGGAAAAGGGGGCGGGGCGAAGTTTCAGCAAGACTGCCGCGCGGAAAAATTAGTGATAGGCGCCGCCCATTCATTTCTGTGTCCCATTTTCGTCATAATTTAACTAAATATGTGTCGCATTGTTCACCAATGCACGCTCTCCCACATAACAATTCCGAACTGAAAATTAATTTTTGATCTACAGAAAAAAGTTTGGCGCGGTCACAATTGCTGGTCTAAAACCATAAAACTTTTTTTATTATTCAAAAACCTCTTGAAATTGCACAAAACAGCATTTTTGCGTTGTTTTTCGATTATAAAAAAGTTTTATCAGACGAATTGAAAATTCGTCCATAGAAAATGTAGAGAAAATAATTGCGGTTTTTTGAGTTATAGAACTCCTAGAAATGTCAAAAACTGAAAGAGGTGATAGATTTTTTCTGTAAAAAACTTTCAAAATGACCATTTTTGACATTTTTTTCTTCCGGAAAACGACCATACATGAATCTATAACCACTAATTAATTTTATAAAAATCATTTGAATCATCTTGGAACTCCACAAAATCAGATAAAAAATTGAGACTCCACCGATTCCGAGGAAGGGGTTATCTCCGAGGAACCGATTCCGAGGAAATCGGGGCGGAGTTTACTTTGCAACTGCCGCACG